ATAGTGCGAAAATCACTTCCTGAAAGAAAATGGATACATATTTGGGAGAAGGAAAGAAGAACAAATGGACACAAAGATCACCATGAATCTAGGTGTATATTTTGAAACCCTTTTTTTTAACTTTTGTATTCACACAAGCAAAAGCTAACTGCTGCTTCTGTATTCAGTTATGCGTGCCAGACGACATTTTCCACAATTACATGGTTACAAAAGGGAGCGGAAAGGATGAAAATATTACAGTTAAACTTGAAACATATGGTCGTTGTATCGAATTCCCTCTTTGCCCCGTCCATATAGACACACCTCTCAGATTTACAAAGACAAAAGTATCTTCCTCACGTTAAAAGGCAGATTCTGGTATTCACTCAATCGTACAGACCCTCCTGCTCCCATACTTCCACGAGAAATTCTACCATGTCCTGTTAATACCAACCCAATTAGCGTTACAATAGGATGATGAACTAACTAAATGCAATACAAAAAATCAAGCAGAATTCCCACCAAAGGAAAACGAAGACTTACAGACAAAGGAATGCGTTGCGCGTAAGGTGACTGTCTCTGTTTGGTTCCAACCAATCTTTCATAAGTTGCATTCCAACTGCAAAGGACATAGTTAGTCGACCTCTGGTAGAAAGATCAAGGCAAATTAAAATGCAAAGCATAGTTAAATAAAATATGTCTACTAGATACACCTGCTTACAGGATTTCCGCCATTCATGAGATCATTTAATTCACCAGCTACTTAAAATATGGTAAAAGTTGATGAATCGATTTTATACTATATATTATTCCCTATTCTTGGTATATTTTGGTTATTATTTTGGTGAGATTTTGATGCTTTGCTATGTGTTTTTAATGTAGGACATGCGAACTTGTTTTGAGCATAAAGTAATCAAACGGTAGAATTTTTGAGTGACTCCAATTGAAGCGGGTTCGTGAATCTATCAAGAAGGTTGTGTCAAAATTTCATAAATTTATCCCGAAACATCTGATCGTGGCGAATTAATTTATGCCCAGCGTGCAGTGCTGGCAGATTGGGCTGCAGAGTTTATTTGCGACTTTTGGGTTGGAAGATGATGGATTTTGGACTTGGACTCTTCTTGGAACTTGAAGAGGATGTCCTAATCTTTAATTTGAGTCATTTTAGGCCTGTTTTAGAGCCCTGAAGGTCCAGAAACGTGACTATCTTTTTTATGGGCAGATTTCCTAGTCAGAATAGGAATGTAATTTATAATTATCCTTTTGTTATTTTATTTCCTAGTTTTTAGAAAACCATTTCCATGAGGGTTTTAATTTGTAGTAGTATAAATAAGGCTTTTTAACCATTAGGGTTCTAGGGGGACGCAACATTGAGAGAATTTAGCATTATTTTGGAGAACTTTAGACTTTTTACCTACAAGGTGTTTTCAATCCTTTTCCTAGTTAATATATTTTCTTTAGTTTTTATTATGATTATTTGTAACTAAGTTCTTGTGCTAGGTTTACTTATGATATTATGCATGCATGTTTTGAATTATTAATCATCTTTTTAAACTATCTAAGTGTCTTAGTGATTCGTGACCATTAGGATATTTAAAAAAATAATTTGATGCAATTTTGGTCGGAAGGTTCCCTGAAACTGGCGCTGACTTCTTGTGATTAATGATTAAACACATCTTAAGGGTTGTATGGTTTTTCAAAGGGTTTTCATAAAACTTAATGAGTCTTTCATGTTCATATTTGATCTGAACATCTGGACAGGTTGCATGTTAGATATACGTTTTATGTTGGAGGTTCCAAGTAGAATATATATTAGGAAAAACTAACCTTCAAAATATGCATGGGTAATTCATAAGTGATTGGAAGAACTACATAGGATTGTTAAGATGATGGCTGAACCCTAGTACTTTTCCAAATTTATTTCTCAAAACCTTTTCTTTTTTATTTGATTTATTCTTAATTGGTTACTAGTTGTTTCTCCTAATTTACTTTTATTAAAATTCTTTTTTATTACTTTTAAATTCAAAATCAACCTTTTCCAATCTTTGTTTGCAGATAATTAACTAAGATTAGGGTTTTCATAAATTGTTTTAAATAATCCCTGCGGAAAACGACCTTACTTGAGCTGCTATACTACGATAACCTTGTACTCTTGTAAGTATTTTAAGTGATTTTAACCTCTTTGCGCAGGTACCTAAAAATCCTATCAAAAGTATTAAGCTAAAAGGGATAAATTATATTGTTAGAGAAATAAAAAGAGTAGCTTCAGCAAACTAGTTAAACAACAAAGGTCATTACTTTGATTTAAAGCAGTGAATGCACTTACATTACTCAAAACTAATGGACCCCGATTCAGATTGCAGTCACAACCTAAGTTACAAAAGCACAAGTAACATACCTTACTCTGGTTTCCCGACTTTTTGGAATTTGATTCCTAGGGTTGCCACTTCCGATCCACTCAAGCCTGTTCTGGTTCCATAGAACAAGACCTGTAGTTACGAAATGTTGTAAGTCAATAACCTATACACTTACAAATATGAAAGCTCACAAGAGCATGAATACTGGTTATACCAAATTACAGTCAAGGTAGGTGAACCAAAAGTTCCAGCACCATAAGTAGATAATACATAGCATAGCCATCAAGCGTAAGGTTATATACAGATACAAGATGTAGAAGAACAACTATACTTCACAAATAATAAAAACATACTCTGCAAATTCTAAAATTTACATGACCTAACACACCTGTTAAAGCCAAGGTTTATGTGAAGATAATTGGTTGTGTCAACATTCATTTGTGAAACCTTTGTTTCACCAGTTAATGAATTTGTAACTTAACTATAAAAAAAATTTCCCCTCATGAAACATCTCATCCGAATTCTATTCACATTGCTTCCCAGTTTTTCTCAAGCACCGTTTCTCTCTTAGTCAGGCCTCTGCGTTTAGAAGAAAATTATTAGCATCTCAGTTAGGGCCACACATTTTAGCACCAAAGGTATTTACAAGCATATATTTGCCAAAAAGAAACATAAAAAAATCAGAAATGTCTTTGACTACGAAGTATTATCAAACACAGTTTGAGTTTATGTATAACGACACAGATCCTGTTTTGTTGGTATTAACTCAATATGACAAACCACAAAATACTTACGCACAATTACCAGACCAAAATAAGAATGCTGTAAATAACATACAACGAAAACTTGCCATTATTTACAAAGTCAGATTGGCTGCTTGTGCTACTACCAGCCACACTGGCAAAGTTGAGGGTCTGGTTGGATGTGCTGATGGATGAGATACTTCTCTGGGATTGAACGGCACTATTGTCCAAATCATAAGTACTGCTGCTCCAAAAGTCATCCGAGATGCCCGGTTTCTTAACACTTCGCCCTTGAATTCTCAATCCCTTTGAAGGCTCATCGACAGCAGTAATTGGTGTGGGTTTAGTGCAGCATCCAAAACAACCACTGCTCTGTTAAAACCCAGGTTAAAGCACACTGCAGAATAAACTCCACCAAAACACAAACTCGACACCATCGATTTTTTTAATACAAATTTAGATGCATAACTGTTGAGGTAAAATTACTCAATACTCCAGATGAGCATGCCACTGTTACAAAAAATTCTTCAAATTTTCGAAATCCGTATCATAAATTTCTTGTTTTTGAACTACTTTTTAATCTAAGCTTGCAATGAAGTCCCAAATTTTCAGAACCCAGATCATAAATTTGTTACTTGACATACTTTCAATCCGAAACTTATTTCACTTAGAAAGTCAAAATCTTTACCACAAGTCTACAACCAAGTCAGAAACAAGTCAAACCTTCCAAAAATAACAGAGTTTGGTTAACAAGTCAAACCTTTCAAAATTAACAGATTCTGGAAGAACCCAAAGGCAAATAACTACCAAAAATAGCAGATAATTTCCCGCGAAGTGTAAGCGAAGACTTACCCCATGCAAGCGAGTAAGTGGCGGATCCAGGCCGCCATGGAGGTGTTGAGCGTCGCCGCCATTGAGTCCCTGCGTCTGGAGCTTTGCCGGTAAAATTCAAAGGCTAGGAATCGGTTTTCATCGGCGAAAGAATTGGTGAGAATTTGGAGGGTTAGGGTTCCGGATTTACAGGGAAGATTGGGAATCGAATTGGTGAGGAAGTGAGAGGGAAATTCCACGTGAAAAAGAAGTGGGGGAATCAGATGTTTTCGATTGGTAGCTTTTGGATCAAGTGTTTTTTGAAAAAGTGAAATTATTTAATTAAATACGTTGCCGGGCGTTGCGGTTTCTTTCTTCCCACTTGTTTTGTTCTCATAACTGTGTGCGCTGTTGTCGACTGTCGGGACGAGAGACCACGTCGTTTTGAGTTAATCCAACTTGAGTGCAAGGAGATGGATGTCCAACTGCTTTTAAACCATTATAAAATTGAGAATTTTAACGAAAAGCTATCGGTTTACTTTAACGAAAAACCACATTTTTACACTAAAAAATCAATCATGTTACTATTCATTTTACCCTTTATTTTATCATTATCATTAAAACTCAAAGTTCAAAGTTTTCAAGCTCTTTTCATTAGTTTTCCTTATAAAATTTTCTATTATCCGAAGTGGCCAGTTAGGTCTCATTCCTAACACGGTCACAACCACCAACGTGACTCTGAAAGTGAATTGATCTTGAACGTGCATACACACTACCCTAACTAACTGCCTGGATCCGCGTTTGCTCCTTTTTGGTTGTTGAACAATATTAAATGCCTTAATAATAATTGTTGTGATGCATTATTTAGAGCGTTTAGGTATGCGAGTATTATAGAAACATGCATAATTGGCTATTTCAGCTTTTGATTTTTGTCAAATAAGAAACGTATAGAGGGGCCTTTGCCTTTTGGATATGACTTAAGAAAAGGGAGCTGGTACACCTGCCTGCATAATTTCTAAAGTTAAAATATTTTTTTCATTTTCTTCAACTTTAAGTAGGAAAATTTTGGTTCCATATGATCTTTTGAAATGACATACGAAAACTAGCAACATACAGATTCCAAATTGTCTCACTTTCATAACGTCTGATTCCGAAAAAGGCGTCCTTTACAACTCAAGGCATCCCATTCCGGAATTACATAAATCGAGCAGGTGAAGGTCGCTGCCATTAAAATGTCTTGCACGGCAAGTTTACACATACCAGAAGGCGAGGGAGACACGGACTAAATTATGTAGTAGCAGACTAAACAATAAAATCGAAGAGAAAATAGAGTAGATTATAACAATTTGAATATGTATGACATAACCAAAGAAAAGAACCTAAAAACTTGGATCAAGTTTGCTGTCATCCTGTTTCAAGTTTTGAAGCTAATTGGTGTTTCTGGACAGCATGGATGCCAGGCGCACCCTCCATCCGAGAATCGTGGTGGGCATAGAGGGCATAGAGGGTTCTGGCTTTTTGGGTATCAGAGAGGCCAAACCTGCCTGCAAGGTGTGACCAGAGTTGTTCTCCTGCTTGGAACTAGTCTCCACAAACCTGAAAATGATGCAAACATTCAACTGGAAAATTCGGAAATCCATTCAATTGTCACATCAGATTTCTTTAGGAAATTGATACTTTGCTGTGAGAGAAAGGATAATGCACATATGTCTGATAATATTTGATCAGAACAATGAAAAATTCAAAGCAAAAGCTATTTTCCTATCAACAAAAATTATCATTTTAGATAAGCAGGCATGAAAGACTCGACACAGGGCAATCAAGCTAGATAACATGGTGTAAAAGATGGAAACTACCAGCTCACGAGCAAAAATTAGAGAAGGCAGTAACTAAATCCTTCACTCGATAAACATTGCCAGCATATAGTAGGAATTAGGAAACTGCTTTTTGTGTGCTTAACCACGTGTCTATGCCAAGCCAAGAATCAGTTAGTAAAACTACCCAACGAAATAATGAAATATGTACAAGAAGTTTACAACAGGCAAGCGTCTCCCAGCTTTATGGAAGATTAGGATTGAGCGAGCGAGACAACAAACTCGTCAAACAAGCATTGCTTTTCTCATGATACGGGCTGCTTAGCATTCAAGATTCTATATAAGACTTGTCCTTCAAACTAGGCGCAATAGAAAAAGTTGTCAAATTAAACATACAAAAGCTAAAAATAAAGAGAAGTGAATGCAAGAAGGGAACTTACAGGGAGGACACCGTGCCTTCATACGCCAATGTCGACATGCCCTGTCTTTGCTTATGCTTGGGATTGGCTGTGCAAATCACAAAAACACGCCCACGACGCTTCACAGTCTTACAAAACTCACACATCTTCTTCACAGATGAACGCACCTTCATGGCTACTGATAAAAACAGAGAAACATGTATTTACAAACCATCAAATTCAGCACCCACCAATCCCGCTTGCGACGCGTAACTTGAAACAGAAAATGGTTGCCAAATTGCGAATTGAACAAGCAGCTTGCAGAGCAGTCAGTCACAATTTCAGATTTTGCATCCATCCCAATCCACAATATATTAACAATCTATATTTAACAATAAAGATGCTGACTTTTGGATTGGAAATGTAAAACCCTAAATACCAATTTCTGAAAGGGGAACAATTTATACAAGAAACCCTAGCAGCATATCGAAATGATTACCGTAAAATAATGTAATTAGCAGAGTGGATTAATCATAATTAACAGCTCAACTTCTATACGTAACTGTGTACATCAATGGAGGACAAGTACCTGGTGGCTGACGGCGGCGTTTGGCTGGTAAAAAAATTGCACCGCCTCTCTTATTTTGCAGTGTCAGTGATTGCTTCTTCTTCGTATTCTTCCTTCTGTGTCTTGTCTGCGTGCGAGAGTGTACAACTTCTGTTTCCGCGAACTAAGTATGTTGGGCCTAGTGTGTAGCCCAATTTGTGGTGGACTCAAATCTTTTTCATAAGGCCCATGCTTTACTTGAAAACTCATATTATTTTTTTAGGAAAACTAATGAAAATGATTTGAAAACTTTGAGTTTTAACGATAAAAACAAAATAAAAATGTAAAGTGAATAGTACATGATTAACTTTTTAGTGTAAAAATGTGGTTTTTCGTTAAAGTGAACAGTACGGGAGCTTTTCGTTAAAGTTCCCTATTTGTTTTTGTTGAAATAAGGGACATTGCCATTTTTTTTTAACAAACGATATTATTATACTAAAGCAATGAGGGATTAGGCTAAGCCTTATAATAAATTAGCAATAATGTGACAAGGCGATAGTATTTTATTGCATAAATGTTAAAATCAAAATTAATCATTCTCTTTATCATCTAAAGACATTTTCTAAAAAAATTCATTTGATTTGGAGACTGTTTAGTCATCAAATAAATATAAAAAAAAAAATTGATAATTAACCATGAGCTACTTGTTACCATAACTGTCGAATAAGAAAATGGAAAAATAGAATCGCTATTGGATTAACTAGCCTTCTGTAATTGATCAGATCCTTATTTTAAGATGTTGGATATAAAACTCACATTATGTTTTTCATTATTAAATATGTGACATGAAAAATCATGAATCTTAACAATTCCAACACCAATATTTAGCAAACATTTAAAAGGTAAGAATCGGCATAATTTCAATTTTCACTCTAAAGTAAACATGTCAAAAATATATTAAATAGTTAAAAAACCTTCCACCATTCCTTCCCCTCTTCTCATCTCACTTCTGAAGCACTCTAGTTTAGAGAGGCATCATGACTCATGAGTAGATGACCATGATCGTTGACTATGGCCAATGTTCTTAAGTTGCTGGCAGAAACAAACAAAACGTGGGAGGCCAAATGATAAAATTAAATAAATCAAAGATAATAAACAAATAATTGACAAGCATGATTAGAACACAAGTTAATTGGTAAAATGTTTTCCGATGGATGGATAAAATTTGCTGGCAAATTACAAACAAATGCGTTTGATTTGCGGAATCTAAAAGAATATTTGTATATGTTAGGGATGTTCCAACATTAACTTGTGAGTATGATTTAACCCTCGACGTCATGGCCACTAATCAAAGTAGTTAGGAGGATTTAACTTCAATTAATTAAAGAATTATCAACGCTGCTGATAGTACCGCCTGCTCATGATCCTTATCTTCTACAACAAAAAAAACATTTACTTTAGCTACTTTTTGGGGTTAAATAATTAAGCTACTTTTAGTTGTGACAAACTGATTTGATTTCAATCAACAATTTTTTGGTTTATTCAAAATACTATCACATGTGGTTCTTATTTACTTTACTCAAATTATATCAAGTCTATTTTATTATTTTATTAATATAACTTAAAAGTATCACGTACGAATCATATCGTTTACTCTTAGAACAAGTAAATTATTATTTTTTTTGGAAGAACCTCGAATGAGAGAATTTTTTCAATATGAAAAAAAAAAGTGAGCAAAAAAAAAAAAAAAAACAGAAAAAGAGGATGGACATAAACCTTATTTTTCTTAAAAAGAAAAATACAAAAAAAGCGAGCGGACATAAACTTTACTCTTCTTGAAAAAGAAAATACAAGTAAAAGAGGGGGAGACATAGGATCAAACATCTCTAAAATAAAACCTAAAAGGTTACCTGCAAGTTAAGCAACAAAACAAAAAGAAAAATCCAAAATTATTAGATAAAAAAAAAATCACACATTAGAAGAGGAGATAAACTTATAATTCGATATGACCAACAAATCTGAATGAATCTTTATAGAAGAAGCATCATGCCAAACAATAGAACACGAGAGAAGTCTAAAATTGCTAATTTGTCAGCAACTGCTTTCCCCTTTAGCAAATGTTTGAGAGTAACAAAAAATCATGTGCTGCCTGCAACTAATAAATACAGTTTTTTTAACAAATAAAATGATACGCTATGTAATTTATACTTTCGTTACCTATAAAAACTTATTGATTTTCTGGTTCCCATATTTGGACAAGCCGAAGGTTCCTAGCTAGCTTTCACCTTTTCCCACCAAATATGCCATATTACAAGAAGTCATTTCAACTAATAAATTAAATTAAACATGTTGGCATCTGATTTGTTGAAAAATATTGCATGGTTGTTCTACTACTTTCTCTTAATCATCATTTTATTAAAGTACATTATGGCAAAGCCACGAAATTATGAGCACATTGTTGCAATTAAAGTACTAATATTAAGATTAATTTAGTTAATGAAAGTTACTTAATTAAAGCAAAAGCAGTGGGTCATTTTATTGACTAAATGGAGGGCCAAGAGCAAGCCATGGACCACTGAGATGAAAGCCTCTCCTCTCGCTTTCGCTTTTGCGGTTTACAGTTTACATAGAAAAATGTTTATAAAGTTAATGAGGTCACTGAGAAAGTTGACGAAGGAAGCATCTAATGTAGAATTTGCAGATGTCATGCTCCTTTTTTACTGCGCTGTTGATGGGTGAATGGACAAATATTGTGATGTGTTTTTGTCATATTCCACTGTTTATTAGTACAATATAATTTTGTCATTAAGTTGGCACTATCGTAACATTTTAATTTATTACTCAAGATGAAATTAATATTTGAATTTTTTTTTTGATAAATTAACTTCGTAACTATTTGAAATGAACCAAATAATTTATTATCACTAAATTCGATGAAGTTTTATTTACTTTATCATTAAATATTGACACGTGATCACTTGAGGATAAAATTGTATCATTAAGTTGGAATCTATAATTGGGGCTTTGCTAATCCAACCCAAGTGAACCATTAACTAGATGTCTTCCATCATATGATCATCACAACTACTATACATGGCATTTAGATGTCTTCCATCATATGATCATCACAACTACTATACATGGCATCATGTAATTAATAACCATAAAGCGTTAACCAATTAGTAATATAGTACAACATTCATCACTCGTTTGATTATTAAAAAATGTGATCCATGTTATGAACTTCCATTTTTAGGTCATCAGATCATAAGATTACATCGTGAACTAACTAATCAAGTAAGGAATTAGCGTTTGAGCACTACTATACGTGTAATATATATTGTGTTGGAGATGTGAATGATGTGAGCTCTAGTTTGCATAATATTGAACTAACAGATATTCACGAAACTTGTTAGAACATACAATCTAATTCGAAACATCTACGACTCTATTTCCAATTATTGTTCGATCCATACGTTGTACTCACATTTAGCTCATTTGTACACGGTACCTCCATTTTTGACCTGCCACTGACCTTGGTCCCAAAATTGAACCGGGACCATTCTCCATTTCTTGTTGTACACGTGAAGGAATCAATGGTACGTACATATATATTCCTCCAATTTATAATTTTTGAAGTGGATTAATTAAGGTATAATTCAGTGAAACCAAATTGATCCAATATTATTCATCAAGTCAAACAAAACACAGAGGATGTCACGTTGCACGTGTACCGTATATAAAAGACTCGTGTTGGTGAGAAATCGACTACAACGAGAATGTCACTATGTCGCGTATATTGGCATTTTTTTTAGCTTTTACAATGGAGAAGTAGGATTGGCTCATGCATTAGGGCAGGCTTTTGACAAATGACTTATCCGATCAAAACCATAAGTATATAAAAGACTCGTTGGCGAGAAATCGACTATAACGAAAATGTTACGTGCATGTTAACATTTTTTTAATCTTTTACAATGGAGAAGAAGTAGGATTGGCTCATGCATTCGTGCAGGCTTTTGACAAATGAGTTGTCCAATCGAAACCCTAGGTATATAAAAGATTCGTGTTGGCGAGAAATTGGCTGCAACGGGAATGTTACTATGTCGTGTATATTGACAATTTTTTTATTTTTATTTTTAACAATGGAGAAGAAGTAGGACTGGCTCGTGCCTTTTGAAAAATGACTTGTCCAATCAAAACCCTAATACCTTGTGTTTTCAATTTTCATTGGTGACACCCGAATGAGTAGGTTCGGTGACCAAAACTTTGGATACTTGAGATGTATTAGCTAGTTTGTGGCAAATTGTAATTTAATAACAGGCTAAAACAAATCAGATATTAAATAACGTAGAAAAAGGATGGGGACATATTACATCTGATCTGGGACACACTCCGTGAGCCCCCACAAGGAAAAAACTTCAGTTACCCATCCTGCTTGATTAACCTACAGGGTTTTGCTGTTTTTATATTCATGCGTATGTATTCTTAAGAAAAATCTACACAATGCTTAAGCTAGAACGTATGACGCTTTAATATACGAATTTGAAACTTTTCATTGATGTATAAGAAGTTGAAATATTAATCGAGCAAATAACATGTTAAAGCATAATTGGTCAAACTAATTGGGCTTAATGACATTTTATTTATATGTCCACGTTGATTAGGAATCAATTAATTATGCTAAGATGGAGATTAGGCAATAATTTAATGTTTTCTGTTTAGTTACTCATACGGTTGGCTTTGCTTCCAATCCAAGGTTTCATTAGGCCAAATACGCAAAAGTCATCGTTGAATTGACAAAGGAAGCATCCTGGCACATGGCCGTGTTCACACATGCATGTACTCTCGCATGCGTCCACGCGTGTTATGTAAAACACTTCACATTATTGAAAAGCTCCGGTCAAACCCTAGCAGAGTTGTGGACAGGTCCGACCATCCAGCTCACATTATTTGTTGCTGCAAAACAATTACAGCTCACTTAGTTAAAAGCGTTTATTTTGCATTTAAAGTTGTTAGTTTGATTTTTCTCTCTAATGTTGCATGTATGTATAAAGGATCGCTTGCGATTCTCCATTATACAAATAAAAAATTATCATATCTGCGTAAATAAAGAATTACAAACGAAGGAACAAAAGAAGTAAACTTTCTGCACCAAGTGTGAAAATGTTTAGCATGTAAGTGGGAATGAATAAAGTCTTCTCTCAAGTCCTAACCACCAACCCCTGTCACACATAGTCACATTGTTGTCATAAAGGCTTTACCTAATGTCAAGGTTTCTTAGTTATCTAGAAGCCATCCAAGTCATTGGATAGAAAACCTTTAACACATAGCAATATGACCACTTGAATTTGTCATCATCATTGTTGGAACTTGCCACACTATTTGTAATTCAACTATTTCTTTTCCATCTTTTGGTTGCTATATATTTGATACCGATAGATGCAAAAGGCTAAGTCTTTGTTGAAATTTCTCCGTTGCCTAGAAAAATCCCAAGAAAATTAAGAATCAAAATATCGAGATTTTCTAACATGTGTCGACATAAGGTATGTTATAATATCTTTAACCGCATGTCAAAACATTCATTTTGTTCAATGCCATTCGTCGAAACATAATAGAACTCTTTCGCAAAATATCAACAAATATGTTGGTATTAACAGGGACTCCACCATGTACCCAATCATGTTACAAGAAGAAACATAAAACGGCAGCAACTAACCAAAACCTGTGGGACCCATCACTGCATACGATTCCGAATATACCTTCCAACCTACTTAACCTCTCATCAGCAAAAGAAAAAAACTAAAATTTGTACAAATTAAAGGGGAAAAAAAAGAAGAAAGATTCGATCTTTACAGAAAATCAACCCCAAAAATATACAGAAAAGATGTGGGAATTGATCAGTAGGAGTAGGCCAACCGGTAACCGCCACGATCCCTGAGAATTCCATTGTACAGAGCCGCCCGGTTTGCGGGCATTGATCCTCTGTATTTCTGGGAAGTTGCAGAAGAAGAAGTTGGAGATTTGGAAAAAGCAGTGGGAATTATCTGGTGCTGCCGTCTAAACTCCTGATTGTCTCCAATCGGATCCACGACGTCCTCTGCAAAGTGCACCCTCTTGTTCTTCTTCCTCCTCTTCTTTCCATCTGCAAACTCACCAGCAAAAGAAAGTCAGCCATATATGAAATTACCCAATTATCCTTGAAACACAGAAAACAGAGTAAAACAGAGGATTGAATGTTAAGCATACCAGAAGATATACAAGATCGTAGAATTTGAGGGGAGGACTGATGGGTAATTTGATCAACTGGGTATCCGTGAGAATTGGGTAGGGACTTCTGGAGGCGGAGGGCGAGGAGGATGACGGTGCCGGAAACCGCCATGGCGGTGGCCAAAACCACCCCTTGAGAGCCCAGCACTGAAGACATGATCTTTTTCTGCAAGAAAACCAAGAAGTAGGAAGAAACAGGAAACCCAATTGGGATCTCGAGCAGAAAGAAGTAGAGTTTGGATGAAAGAGGGAGAGACAAGTGTGGGAGAATTAATTGTAGTATAATATAATGGGGGCAGAGGGAGAGAGAAGAGAGAAGAGAGAAGAGAGAAGAGGGGAGGGGGGGGGGAGATAAATAGTTATGGTGGTGCAGTGGGAGAACAACATGTGAATATGATATTGAAATCAAACAAATGGGGTTATGTTATTGTTTTAAATTTCTTTAATCAGCCATTGGTCAATAGTCATGAGTTTTTCTTTCTTTTTCTTTGATATTTTTGTCTTCTTTTTTCACTTTAGATTGGTAAAATGTGAATGTCGGCATTTTTATAAATGTGGAATTTTTTTTTCTTTCATAAGACGGGTTTGTTTAGGACTGCTTTCGTATAATTACTTTTGTTCGATATTAAATTATGAGATTGATTACAATATTTACATGTATTCCTGGTTTGAAGTATAAAATAAAAGGAAAACTAATGAAAATGGCTTGAAAACTTTGAGTTTTAATGATAAAGACAAAATAAAGGGTAAAGTGAATAGTATCAAGATTGACTTTTTAGTGTAAAAATGTGATTTTTCGTTAAAGTGAACAGTACCGGGAGCTTTTAGTTAAAGTTCCCTAAAATAAAAGACCAAACTAATGACTTGTCAAAACATAAAAGACCATTTGTAATATGCTAATGCTACGGAGACGATTTATTTAAACCAAATTTTGTAAATTATATAACGTGATTGTTGATGATTTGATAATTAAGTGTCGATTAGTGTGTTTATTTTCTATTGGTAACACAACATATAATTTGTAAATTTGATTTAAAAAGATAATCTACCTAACATTATTTTTTATGATAAAAACCCAAATATAAATGGGCTTCATAGAAAAACATTTGAAGGGTGATTCTTCATGAATTGCTTGACCCAAAACCCACTAGCAGAGCCACGTTAAGGGCTGCTGTGGGCTGTCGTTCAGGTAGCTTCTGGTGGAAAAATAAAATATTACATGTAATTTTGATTGATTTTTGAACGTAGTCCATCATATATTTAGTCACTAATCTGAATTCTCTATGTTTAATTATATAAAATTATATAATATAGTTTACAAACCATTTCTTTTTCTTACATCTTTTTTCTCATCGCATCTTGTACATGTACAAGTTTGAATTTGAACACGTATTTGTTTAATTACAAAAAAAATTGGCTCACCTTGTGAATTTTTTTTAAGCTAGCTGATAATGTAAAAAATACGGTATCAAGTATCAAGTTTCTTTATTTATAAAAATGTAAATTTGTAAGCTAGCCCATCCGGTAAAAAATTCCTAACTCAGCCATTGCCAAAACCATTTAAGTTTTTTTTTTTTTTTTGCTAGCAATATTTTAGTGATTCTAGAAGCAACTCTAAACATGATCATCAATATTTTGATGTACCATAATTTATCGGAAAAAAGTGCAAACTTAAATACCAAACGACAAACACATTGTTCTCACAAACTAGTCTAACCGACATCTGCTATGTATAATTGAATGTGTCTTTTTATTGGGGGGATAGGGTCTCTCTCTCTCTCTCTCTCTCTCTCTCTCTGATGAGTGGTCCGGCAAGTAACTTTTGTTTGTGCACCGCACGGCAATGCCAAATGAAGAAGAAAGTTTCATGGTGACGTCAATTGCTAGTTTGGAAAATGGGAAAGGAGGAGGACTAACTCTTCCACAGCATTACTTTTTCTCACTTTCACAATCTTAGGCAATGTGAGGATTAATATGGAATGGTAGCTGCGTGCAATGCACCCTCTTAACACCAATACCTAACCACATAAAGTTTCGAGTTTCCTACCTACACAAAAGACGTAACGATCAAGATGCTGTTTCCGAAAGAGGCTCGTTTTGTGAATCGAGACTGATGAGTTTGATGTGGTAATCAGGTCAAAATGCTGTATATTTGTTTGACCTAGATGAAATGAAGAGTGGTGGATTCACTGGATTACACTCTTGAATGTAATGGAGCTTGAGATAATGGGGCTCAATTATTAGGTTTTTTTTTTTTTTTTCTTTCTTTCTTTCTCTCTCTCTCTCTCTCTCTCTTTGATACACGCAGCCGTTGTCATGCATGACATGTCAGGCCGTTCCATGCCAAAATATTGGAGTTCTTGATGGTCAGATTTAGTTGAAGATAGGAAAACGACTGAAGGCCAATGGAGTTTTAAAAGTTTTGAGCTTGAAAGCAACTTATATGGCATGAGTAAATTAATTATATAAGACTTCATATAACGGTATTTTTGTGTATTATTGACATAAAAAACCACAATAATTATATAAAATATTACATGTAATTTTGTAGGAAGCTTGCAGCAAGCACATGCATGCCCCAGCAGTTAACATTACTCAGTCAGAATGTTACATGTGTGGCTTGTTAGGTTCCCAAAAGCCAATAAGCAAAAGGCCTTGGACTGTGGTTGGATGTTGGCCAAATTTTAGAAAATGGGATAGAAGAAGACTACATAAACAACATTATGCAGAACATAACTGGTTAGGAATTATTTTATATTTTTATAGTTTGAGTAAGATAAAGAACAAGCATATCTGGCTTGGATTATATTGGCAGCGATTCAAAGGAGGATAAAAAATGGAAGATATGAAACGATAGTACGGGCAACATATTTAACCTAATATAGATGATCGATAAAGATTCAATTACTTTCGTGATAATGAATACGAGTCACTTTTCTTTTAATTTAATGAGAAATTCTTGTAAATGGCTGTCTGTGTGCAATATATGATGGGACTATAAATTTTTTTTTGAATAGGAGTTAAGACAAGTCAAAAGTCTAATACGGTATTATTTCAATTTATGATTTGAAATATATATGTGAGTCGTGAGTATTTCACTCATCACGTGACACTATAACCATAAGAGTAACGAAGGACTACCTTAAAGTGTTAAGTTTTTTCTTCTTGGCAACACCTTTAAAGTGTTAATGTTAATGGTGCCAAAGGCAAATATCAAATCCCAATAATTGCAAAAATGGCCTTTGATAATATGTTCATGTTCTTTTTCCAATAGGGTTTTTGAGAGGGAGAGATGTGAAAGGGTGTTCATGAAGATGGTCTCACTCATCACAACCAATAGTTATCTTCGAAATTTCTTATCAACAAAAGAAGTGATGTTGAAAACTAAAGCAACTTCAACCACAATAAAAGGAAATTTGAGAGGGAAAACAAAAATAAAAATATAACGCAAGGACAAATTTATGAGGAGGTAGGTGGGGAGGAGGGCGAAAGAAAGAGACTAAGAGAGTGAAATTTGAGAAAATACGAGCATCAAAATTTACACTAGATACAAATTATATTTGATCAAATTTATGTTGCAATCACATATGTAGCTAATAAAAATAATAATTGTGATAAAAACATAGCGAATTATCCGATCTACAATAATTTTCTTTTGTAATTGTGTAAGGTAACTTCTTATTATATTAACACATATTTACAATGCATTTAGCATAGTAAAGTGAGAAGAAACCTTTTTACTCCTAAGTAGTGAGGACTGAAGGAAGCAAATCAGATTTCGACCCGAGAATTCGAGCCTTGGTGTCGGGAAAAAATTCTGTTCCGGGCAATTCTGTAACCTCTCCATTTTCAGTAACTGCAATGGGGTAGCTAAGCAAATGCCCTGGCAAGTCACCATCCAATGTGTCACATGAATAAAGGTCCCAATGCTGGTCTGCAATTTGGTTCACCTTTCTTATGCATTCCACATTTTGTGGTTCAAGAAAGATGTCATCAAGCAGGCCCAAGTGTTCATACCACAATGACATTCTGAGGCCATGAATTTGTCCCCGGGCTGGCTTTCCGGTGGATAGATGATAGGGTTGGTAGGCCCCCATGGCAATCTCCGAATCCCTGGCTCCATCCATTGATCTTTGGTTGATGTTTGCGGACCCAATGATTATGTAATCATCATCAACTGCAAATTATGCAACGCATTTCAAACACTTCAATCAGTATATGTTTGTCCTTCGTACAAATCCATGATTCTATTGTGGGGACGTCCACTTTTTCTTTAAGAACGGATGTTTTGAGAAAATCTCACTTATTATCAACTTTGTTCTACTTTGATTCGTTTATTGAAAGAGTTGATAATTTAGAGTTCATAATCACGCTTTAGAGCTTCGATTTCAGGTTTTATGTATTACATTTCAGGCGAATATGAAGTTTGGAACCTAAACTCGAAATGATAAACCAACCCGAGATTAGAATCTAAATTTTAAGCTCTACCTAATGATTCTACACCCTTAGAACAATCAACTATGTTAATAAAAAGGAACAAAACTGAAGAAAATTGAGTAGAAGTGAGCTTTTCTCAATGCGTGTTTTCTTTAAGTTAAATTAAAAGTTAGAATAATTAATTAAGAAGAATGTGATATAAGATTGGCTTACCTATCATCACCTTGGCATGAACATAGATCATGAACCGCCTCGCTTGTTGTGCTCGACTGTAATCTGATCCATGTTCTGGTTTTTCCGGAGGTTCATATTCTCCGGGTAGCTTCTTCTCGTGGTTACCAAGGCAAAAGAATGCCAAATAATCCTTAGGGTTTGCCTCAATCCCCTTGACTTTGAGAGTTTGAACAATGTCCCTATACATCATGTCCATCGTCATCCTCTGCCAATGCAACATTGCCTGAGCGGTTTGGCTTTCCGGAATGCCCTCTGGCCACATTGGCATCACAATGTAAACCGTAAATCTTTCTCCGGCTTCAATCTTACTAACAATCTTTAGTGACAGTTCCTTTGGGATCAGATGCAAAGCACCAACCTCCTCAACTTTTAGGGTAACATAATCTGAATGCCATCCGAAAGAGCTTCCAAGAAAGTACTGATTTTCGATGTAGATAAAAGACTTTGCGCGCCGAATGGCATTGATGTAAGCATCCTGAATGCTTCGGTCAACCACGTGATATTTCCCGGTGACAAGGCCTGCCCTGGCAGCATCTTCGGGGGAGTCAGGGAATCCGAATGCAGCTCCTCCATCGATGGAGTGAAACAGCTGAACATTCCATGTATCATGGTCTTGAGGGGACATAACCGGAGATGGTGGTATAAATGTGTCATCTAGCTCTCTGAGTTCAACAAGCAAGTCCTTCCCACCTTGCTTCCTCCACCTTTGCTCAAAATTGAATAAGACGTCCCACGCAATAGGCCCTTCCAACTGACAACGTATGTCGTGCCAAGGTTCCCTTGGACCACCTTTTGTGAACGAAGCGCCCCCAAAATTAGGCTGATGGAGATCATTCTTGTGTGTTGTGTCTAAAGTCCTGAAAATGGGATGTGAAGGTGTGTCATATCTTCCATCACAAAGATCAATGCCACCAATGAAGCTCACAATCCTCCTCCATTAGGCAATTCGCTGTCCACCACGACAATCTTCTGGTGATGCGTAAACATGGTGGACACCTGTAAATCCTTGACAATGCTATTCCCGTTGTCAGGGTTTCGGGGACACAGCACGCAATGAACTGCTGTGTTGTGGAAGTAGCTTTCAGTGTCTTCATCATGAGTAGCCATCACTCCATCTCTCTTTAGCAACTTCACTGAAGTTCTGTCATCCCACACAAGCATTAGGACTTTCACTCCTTCATCTGCCTTCTTCTTAAGAAGCTCTCCGAGGGTCAAATCGCAACCCGGGATTTGCCTCTTTGGGTCCCTTACTAATGTGATTTTAGTACATACAGACCAACCTGCTATGTATATCAAGCGTTTTGCATTAGAAATGCCATTAAAAATGTCTTCCCAGCATCGGTGCGGTTCATAACACTTGGAACCAGCAAGAGGGATTTTTGGGGTGAAATTTTCAGGGACATGAGCATCTTGATAAAGGGTAACTCTGCAACCATTCCTCTGAGTGAAAAATGTGTATGGAACTCCTTGGAATTCAGGACTTCTTATTCCGCGAGACCAATTCGACTCCTGGTTTACGTTAAAGAAACGCAACTTCACGTGAATTTTCGAACGTCCATGCAGAGGTTTGTTGTGATAGATGATCTTAACCCATCTGTCCACTGTAAGACATATTCTGAAATCACAACAACAAGACATTAGAATCACGAATAAAACAAATATAACTACAATAAACCAATCAAAACGATTAAAAGGGAAATAAACTTATCTTCCGAAGTGGAGGAAGAAGAAGAAGCCATGTCTGCTAGGGTTTCAAGGAGGAACTTCTACACTCTAGCAGCCTAGATTCATTGTGCACAAAAATAGGGTTTTGCACTAGAATAGGATTATGCTGTGAGTGCAGGGACCTCCTAATATATAGACACTCATCCCTTTAATCCGGCCTATTAACTGATTAAAGGGATATTCCATATCAATTAGGATTTCATTATAGTCCTAAATGGTAACGAACTCTTTGTCAACTAAATAAGGTTTTTATAATTAATTGCACTAAATAAGGACTCCTAAACCTAACCAAATAAGGCTCCATAATTTTCTCAACCATTAACTCGGATTAACCAAGTTACTGTATGTCAAGAAACAGTGAGCACATGTTCTTTGACACTCACAACTTACATTCTCCCACTTGAGTGTCCAAGAACATGATCCTTATTTGGCTAAGTGGTAGGTGATCACTGAGTCCCACAAAATTTGCAACTATACCTTTAACAACTTGTCACTAGTAGTTTAAATATTGGATTATAGAAAATAACATGTAATTGCTTCTACATGTTTACTCTATTACCACGAATATCAAATTACGAGCACAATGTTGCTTGACATCATTCGTTAAATTCAGGTTGATAAGCAAAAGATCAACTCCTGAACTGAGCCTCATGCAAGCATGGCTCATATTTTCTGTCAATTTATAATATGATAAGAGGACAAGTAAAATACAACATACTATTTACAAAATTAGGACCTCTTAATAAACTTATGAACAAAACTTAAACAAAAACTCTTAAAATATCAGCCACTAACACTTCAAATTTTAAACACAAAAGGTAATCTCTTGCTCCCACTGATTAAAAGAGACAAAATTATATAAATTATTATTACTCCCACTGATTAAGAGAGTAAAAAAAAATTTGTAAATGTCTACAAAATGAAACAGATACCTTTCCAATACTCCTATTAGCAAGACATTAGTCATGGGATCTAAAACATAAAATTTGTGAGCTCAACATCTTTATTCCAGATATCTGTAGGGAAGTGACTCTTATGACTGAAAAACTATACAAAATCATTTGGTCCGTTTTGTTCATCTAACATTTGACAGAAATAGAAAACTTTAACGGAACGTTTTCTGATTGCAACAAAAACATATAATTCCAGAATCCTCTTTGGATAGAATCTGATTATATTAGGTTTTCACAGCTAAAACATAAAATACAAGGGTAAACGTATATAGTTTCAACACTTTTGAGCAGAAGAAGTATATACAATCTTGTCAATTCCATGTTTAACCGTTCATTGATTTATAGTTGGACTGAATAAGAAAACACTTTTGAGCAGATTAATTATCCATCAATAACATATAAATCACAAGTCCAATTTCTTGAACAACAAACAAGAATTAATAAGCAAAACACTTTTGAGCAGAATATACTCATTAACCTTTCTTGAATTTCCTGCAAGATTAGTTGCATATATAAAATATAAACAAGTATGATAATGTATGTTTTATCTACCAAAACTATGACCATTAAAAGCATGCAAAATTGATGAGTGTGAAGCCCATAATACATTATTTCTCCCACTTGGGCAAACACTCAAAATTGCAAGATTAAACATTAGAGACAGTGGTTTTTATATAACAAAATATAGGCTAGTTGAATCAATAAAGATAGTGTAAGCTCTACCAAAATTTCAGATTTAATCATAATTTAAATAAACCAATTTACAATCTTTAATATGATCAAAACACGAAAATTTCTTAAATAAATTAAAGGTTCATTTCATTAGATAAATAACCTTTAATATGCCCAAAACATTAAAATTTCTTAAACAAATTTGTTGAGTCACAAAATAGTTGGTTTGGACATAATAAAACAATCTATATGTATCAAAAATTAGGCTTATATAAGGAACAATATCTCAACATTATTAATCGATCTAAAAGTGACAAGTGATTAGATAAACAAATGGCTACGAAGTTTATTTTAGTGTATGAGAGAAGACTCGTATATGTGTTAAAGATTAGGTCATATATTAAAATGAAACCTAATAAGAGAATCCAAACTCAAAATTTATGTTTTAATTCTAAAACAAAGTAGAATTAAGGTAAACACATAGATATCTCAACAACATCAATTTTTCAACAATAATTTTAATCCAATTTAGAACTCACAGAAAATTAAGGCAAAAGATTGGCAAATTTACCTACTCATTCTCGATTCTGCAAGATTCATCATGGATGTAGTCGAGTTGTGGAGGATCGAACTAACTCCAAATTGCATGATTGTTACACCTTTGGGCAGAAACTAATCATGCAAAGAAAATAACTGCATAGTTAGCCAAAACATAAAATACACAAAATACATATAGCTTCAACAGCTTTGGCCATATGAAAATATGTTAGAAGTACTTTATGATTTGCTATAATACTAATTTATAATTGGTGAGTTATTTCCTAAAATTCCCATTGGGACAAAAGTATTCACCATATAAATTAGAATTCTGATTTTTCAAAATAATCCTTTAGAACAGTATTAAATAACTGTTTTGTTGGATATTCAATGATTCTCAAAAGATTCAATCAGACACAAAATATGTCGTTATTGACATTGAACTATAGAGTTCTCGAAAGAGAAAACATGGTTATTCAGTTATTCGATAGAGACCCAAATGATCAATTAGTAAACTGATGCCACTTTCCAATTTTGTCTCAAAAGACAATTATCATCATAATTCAAATTGATGACCAAACAAAACATTGGTTTAAACAAAACTGTAGACATCGAAATTTCGGTAAATAAATGTTGACCGATAAATCAAAGTGTCAACGCTCATGTATTACATAAATTTTACACGTAGCGTGTGGCTCAACGAAAATTGAAATGAGTTGGAAAAGTCATCAAATAGGACACGTGTCAACACCTGGCAGAAACGACTTATTTCATCTGGGATATTATATTCAAAATTAGGTCTTGGAAAATTCTATAAATACAAGCCCATTTCATTCATTGGGGGGGGGGGAATTCATATTACACCTTGAAGCTCTGAAGCTCTGAAACTCCGAAGCTCTCAAGCATTCAAGTTCCCGAAGAATCAAGAAAGCCTTCTTCGTTCTTCGTTCATCGTCCTTCCAAGATCAAGCCCCGACGGCCTTTGGATCAACAATCATCCACCAATTCAAGATCAAGCCCCGACGGCCCTTGAAGAAAGTGTTCTTCGTTCTTCGTTCATCGTTCTTCCAAGATCAAGCCCCGACGGCCCTTGGATCAACCATCCACCAATTCAAGATCAAGCCCCGACGGCCCTTGAAGAAAGCCTCCATCATTCCTTCTTGAGTTATCACAATCCCACCCGGCGTGCCAATTTGTGAACATGGAAAATTCCTGAAACGAAAGAGACAAGAACGAACGACGTGCACAAACAAATATTTGTGTTTGATGATTTTGGGTTACAATCTCTCTCTATTTTGATCCTCTGATTCGATCTCCGTAAGGTGTTGATTTGTGGGATGTGCGATTGATCCAAGGGCCGTTGAGGCTTGATCTTGATGAACGTTCTTCAAGGGCCGTGGACTTGATCTTGAAGGTGGATTTGAGCGGATCTTCAAAGGGGCTTTTGGGCTTGATCTTTGAAGAACAGTGATGAACGGATCTCCAAGGGCTTTTGGGCTTGATCTTGAAGAACAGTGATGAACGGATCTTCAAGGGCTTTTGGGCTTGATCTTGAAGAACGGTTGGATGTGTGGATTTGTCGACGTTGTTGATCCAAAGGGCCGTTGGAGCTTGATTTTGGATGAACGGATGATGAACCTCCGGCAAGTACCTAGTAATGTCGCCGCCGCGTCTCGATGCCTGTGGTCTGCCTTCTACTGCTGTTGGTTGAGCAAGGGTTTGGGCTACAGCACGTGTAATACCTCTCTGGAATAAGGTGAGCCTTTGATGGATTTTGGGCCGCACTTTCTCCAAGCCCAAGAATCGGACGGTTGCGGAGTGTTACTGTGGGCTGATGGGGTTTCAGAATGATATTTTATTTTATTTTTTTTTTTTTCGAAGAAACTGTAGTTTAATTTTGTACAAAATTTTCTTAACAAAATAAATTTGTAATGAAATTGACCTTCTTTAATAAAACATTTATTCTTTTGATTTTGATGTGACTGAACTCGAAAAATTGAACATTCGAGCTGCCTACGTACCCCTCCAAAGAAGGGATCAAGTCGAAACGTAGTTCAAATGAGTGATGAATTTAACAATGATTTTGATGATGATTTTGCCGTACACAGTTTATGCTCTTGCGGGCCAGGAGCTTTGGTTCGTGCAGTTTAGGCTCGTGCGAACAAGGAGCATTGTGTCTTGCAGTTTAGGCTCTTACCGACAAGGAGCTTTTGGTGAATTTGTCAAGCAATTTTGGAGAGGCGTTCCTCACAATCTTCATAGCAAGGAGCCTTGATCGAGTGATTGAAGAAGTCTTCGGGCAAGAAATCACGCATCGTGATGGGGATGGACGATCTATACGTCGAAATTTCATCATCTTCAACACGTTCACGTTGCTTTGAAGGTTGACAAGAGCTGTTTTGCCCCCTTTCCGATTGGCGGACTTGTGGAGGAGACGTATGCTTCTTGTGCAATTTCTTCGGAGTGACTTGAGTCAATCCTTCAACTTTGCTTGTCTTGGAGGATGCCCCCAGCGGTTGATGTAGTCCATGACTGGCTCGTCCTTCCACTGCTTTGTGCTTGTTAGCTCTAGCATGCTCACAGATCTCGCATAGTTCCACATCGACTCCAACAGGTTCTGTGGAACTGTTCCCCACAAGTTCAATCGCCTCAAGCTGCTGTTCGAGCGCGATTTGAGCAACAATTGTTTTGCTGAAAAAAAAAATTCCCTCGAGTGTTTCTCCAACTGCCGAAGCTCAAATTCTTGGATCTAAGGTTCAACGAGTTCGAAGGGATAGTGATGAAGGAGCTGTTCGACAAGGATTTGGACGTTCTGCTTCAATCTGCCCGATAACTTTGTAAATTCCACCGTCTACAAGGTCATCCACCGCCCCACGGGCCGTCTTTACGCGCTCAAGGTGATTTACGGCAACCACGAGATCGAAACCCTCCGCCAGATCTGCCGCGAGATCGAAATCCTGCGCAACGTCGATAAACCCAACGTCGTCAAGTGCCACGACTTGTTCGACCACAACGGCGAGATCCAGGTCCTGCTCGAGTACATGGACGGCGGGTCGCTGGAGGGCCAGCACATCGGGAACGAGAAGGCCCTCTCCAATTTGGCCAGGCAAATCCTCAGCGGCCTCGCCTATCTCCACCGGCGGAAGATCGTCCACCGCGATATCTAACCCCCAAATCTAACCCCACCGCTGTAATTACATATTTAATTGCATCGCCTTCCGGCAATTTGTAGTAATTTATCGCCGGAAATTAATTCTGTTTGAAATGGAGCTGGAGCAGCACCCCCCTGCCATGACCTTTGACGAGATCTCCATGGAGCGCAGCAAGAGCTTCGTCAAGGCCCTGCAGGAACTCAAGAACTTGAGGCCTCAGCTTTATTCTGCTGCGGAAAACTGCGAAAAGTCCTATCTTCATAGTGAACAGAAACAAATGCAAACCTCAGATGTCTCAACCATGGATCTGAAAGTTACTTGCCTAAATCAGAAACTTCTTGCATGCAAAACATACATGGATAAAGAAGGGTCCAGGCAGCAGCAGCACAATAACGGAGATGTATTGGTGAAATCACAGCCGTTGGTTAAGGTGTTGCAGTTGATACATGCGCAAGAGCATGGCTCGTTGTTCGAGCGACGGCTTCCAGCCCAGGAAAGCGATAAGTACAAGAGCATTGTCCAGCAGCATGTAGACCTGGAAACTATACAAACAAAGCTCCGCAAGGACGCCTACTCATCCTGCTCTCTCTCATTCTACCGAGACCTGCTCCTCCTCTTCAACAATGCCGTCGTCTTCTTCCCCAAAATCCTCCCTCGAGTCAATGACTGCTCACCAACTCCGCCGCCTTGTCTTGAATGAAACGAAGAAGAAGAATCTCATCACTCGGCCCAACCCGACTCCCTCATCGAGGCCTACTCCGGGATCCGTAAGAATTTCACCTACTTCCGCGTCAACTCGTCAGCGAAACACTCTGTGCTAGAGCTTCAAAAAGCTTGGCTGGGTTCAAAAGTAAGATGGGTCACTGGTGGGCATGTCTCATCGTTCATTCTCCACAACAGTGAGTCCCGCATGGTTATTGTTGACGGACTTGACAGATTGCCATGGAAGGAATCTCCATTGTGACATTGGCAACACAAGTGAAGAAGACCCTACACTTATTCTGATGTGCAACTATTCGAAAATTGCTGGCCAAATCTGCAGTTGTCGCCATTACTTGCAGCTTGGGAGAGGAGCACCGCACAAGCATCGGTTATGGAAATAAGAATACTCGTCGAAGCTCTGCAACTTTCCGCCCACCAGAATCTGACCACACAGCTTGTCGTAGCTCACGTTCAAGAACTAGAAATTCAGCTGGGTAGACTCCACTGGGATACTCCCGTAGATCTTATTGTGGTTGATATCCAGCGAGGTCAAGCTTGTCGGAAACTCCACCTTTGACAGATTAAATTCCAGCCAGTTCCTGGACAGATCCACAATCTGCGTTGTCTTGTTCAGCCCAAATATCACTGACGCGTCACCTTCGAGCTTGTTCGGTGATAAGTCTATGCTGCCCATCCAACTTCCTCCATGCTACCCCCTCGTCTTCATCTCTCGAGTCACGGCGGAACACTGCAAACAAGCTCCTTCTTCCTCCGCGACGGCAGGCAGGCTATGCAACGGGTCTGCAGTGGCTGTGCTCGGTGGCAGTGCAACGGGTGTACAGTAGCTGTGCTCAGTGGTTGTGCTCAGTGGCAGTGCAACGGGTGTGCAATAGCTGTGCTCAGTGGTTGTGCTCAGTGACAATAGTGGTGGAGCGTCTTCCTCTGCACCTCCGCCATGGCCGCTGCCTTTGAATGAGATTGACAAAAACAAAGTTTGTCAATACACACCCAAAGACCTCCTCCGTCTCCTGCCTCGCAGCTGCCAACAACTTCAAAGACCGCTGTCAAACGACTAGCCGGCCGAGAAGCGCTTCCTCAAACTCCAACTCTCCGTCCGTCTTCGTCCGCTCCCTGCAAATTCCTCTACCCACCACCCAAATTTATACAAAAAGAAATACAATTAAAAAAAAAAAAGGTGGTGGTGCATCTGGCACCACGTGAAAAAAGAGGAATGGTGGATCAAAGATAGGGTACAGTCCCATGGCAGATCAAAAGTTTCTGGTGGTGCATGGGCACCATGTGCAGAAAGAAAAAAAAAAAATGTAAAAAATAATAAAATAATAAAATAATAAAATAATAAAAAAAAAAAAAAAAAAAAACGATGGAACTTGGTGCATCCAGCACCAAAAAAAAAAAAAAAAAAAAAAAAACACAAATGCATAGAGAGAAATAGAAGGTCCATTTTATTTATTTTTCTGTGAATTTTACATAAATTTGCATTATACATAAATTTAAAAAAAAAAAAATCAAATCAAATCAAATTTACAAGAGGGGATATTCAAGGACGATCAGGTGGCGCCTCACAACTCGGTAGAGCTCCAGGAAGAGAAGGCGCCAGAGGTTGACTGTTTGAAGCCTCAGCAGTCGGTACAGCCCCAGAAGACGAAGGTAAATGCTGCTGGAACAAACCCACAAACCTCTGATGATCAAGTAAAATCTGACCATCAGATTCCTGCATCATCTGGTCAATCTTCCTCTTCATGTTTGTCGCATAGCTATGTGCGAGCTTATGCAACTGTTTATTCTCCTGCTTGAGCCCTCTAATCTCCTGTTTGAGACTCATCACTTCAGCCGCCAATGATTCAACTTGACGGGTTCGAGCAAATAGGCGTTGGGCCATATTAGACACAGAACCCGCACACTGCACACTGAGAGCCAGAGAATCCTTAACAGCCAACTCATCAGACCGTTTGGAAAGTAGTCTGTTATCTCTGGGAGTGACAAGGTTTCGGGCCACCACCGCAGCGGTCATATCATTCTTCACCACCGAATCCCCAACGGTAAGAGGACCAGTGGGGGATATGAAGGATGGGCGCCATATGTTGTCTGGAGAAGGCGGGACTGCCTCTTCACCAAGGTTCAAATCAAAACGACGGTCGGAGGGTCCGGACATTTTCAAAGTATTGAAGAAAGAAGAGGTCGGACGAATCAAGATCTTAGAAGTGCAAGAATGGAGTTTTCACAAGTAAAATTCAAGTGTGCTTTGAAACGAACAGCGTGCCTCTATAAAAAACCAGCACTCGACGGGATTTCAGAGATCGAAGAGGCGAGCTCAGAATTCGAAGAGGCCATTCAAAAATCGAAGAGGCAAGCTCAGAAATCGGAGAAGCATCTTGCTTTTCCAGACGCGTCGGCACCCGTCACACGCAAACTCAGCTTTGCGAAAATCACGGGCAATTTGTCGAAGCGCCGATCCCAGATATCGAAGAGGCGCCAGTCTTTTTCAGCCACGTCAGCACCCATCACATGCAAACTCAGCTTTGCGGAAATCACGCGTCATCACCTGTCATATGCACACTCAACTTTGCGCAAATCACGGGCAATTTGTCGAAGATTTTCGGTGAAGGAGAAAGCACGTGAAGTTTACTGTTCAATCACGCGTTAGTTGCCGACACGAGTGAAAGAATAGTACCTCTACAGGTATTAAGGGACCTCCTATAAACTGTCCACCTTCACCTTCCATAGCAAGGCAGACATGCAGAGCCTTTCTTCATCTAAAAAAATGCTTTCCCAACGAAACCTCTCGAGTCATTCAGTGTTCCTTATTCCTTGGGGTACCTCTGCAAGCCAATGGCTCCAAAGCAAAAGTATCTCATATCACCAGGGTAGAAAGCAAGAGTATCTCATATCATGCGTTCTCCCTGTCCTTTCCTTTGTCCTTGTTCTTACCTACAAAGACAAGGATAAAGAAAACAATATGTCGGAACCTCCACTCAAACGCGGGTAAGGAATCGACTGCTTGGAACCCTTCCCTGATTGCCTACCTAGCACTGCTCTCGAGTACTCGTTTCCCACTATTGCTGTACTTCCAAAGAAGCTGCCACATCTGCCTGGAGAACAGATAAGGCAAGTGAAAATGATACCTTGCAGCATGTGGAGACAAGGTGCAGAAGGAACCAGCAGAGAAAAATGCGGTCTGCACAGTCAACTCCGCAAAAGGAGTCCGAACTGAGGAACTCGAGAAGCTACCATATCTGCCTGAAGAAACAAGCAGAGAAGAATGCAGCATGCACAGTCAACTCGGCAGAAAGAGTCTGAGATGAAGGACTCGTTTTGACCCTCAAATTCTTGGGTCGACTTACTAGGCGTTGTGGGCTACACGTGCCGATTCACCACCCTTGAATCAAATCCTTAAAGATTAAGTCACCAACTGGAAGAAGAGCCCATCAATCTTGAAGATCATACCGTTGACAACTGCTCAGGTGTGAATTAGAAAGATTGAACAGAGCAACAAGTCGTCACCTTCACCTCGTGCCTGCTTGTCATGTGTTCGAGTCAACCTTCAAGAATCAAGCCTCAACGGCCCTTGAAGAAGCTTTCAGCCAAATTCGAAATCAAGCCTCGACGGCCCTGGAAGAAATCACAAGTCCGATTCAAGATCAAGTGTCTACCACCCTTGAATCAAAACCTAGTTCAAGAATAAGCTGTGGAAAATCAACAATTGGAGGAATCCAGAAAATCCTCCAACCCAGTTCAAGATCAAAGCTGTGGAAAGTCAACAAGCGCAACAAAATACGTGCCGATTCATCCACTACCAAAGCCAAAAATCATCTACCACATGAAGCTCCTTGTGGCCCAATTTCAACCTTCAAGATCAAGTCTCGACGGCCCTTGAAGAAATTTCAAACAAAAGTTCAAGAACAAGCCTCAACGGCCCTTGAAGAAATCTCAAGCCCAATTCAAGATCAAGCCTCGACGGCCCTTGAAGAAATCTCCAGCCCAATTCAAGATCAAGCCTCAACGGCCCTTGGATCGACATCTACAGTAAGGGACTTCAAAACGCATCTCCTACACGTGACAATCACATGTATACGACGCGCCTTGAAGTGGGGGCATTTGTAGACATCGAAATTTCGGTAAATAAATGTTGACCGATAAATCAAAGTGTCAACGCTCATGTATTACATAAATTTTACACGTAGCGTGTGGCTCAACGAAAATTGAAATGAGTTGGAAAAGTCATCAAATAGGACACGTGTCAACACCTGGCAGAAACGACTTATTTCATCTGGGATATTATATTCAAAATTAGG